ATGTACCACACCATGTGGGCACTCTGGGCTCACCCGTAGCTCCTCAGCCATGGGCTCCTCCAGCACCGTGGACTGCACCATGTCATCATCCTGCCACCCTAGGATGGGAGCAGGAAGTGGAAACCAGAGAAGGGAGGGGGAGCTGGGAGACCCCACCTGCTGCTGCAGCTGGAGTGATGCGGGGAGTGGTGAGGGCCCCTGAGGCCTGCCAGTTGGGCAGACCTGCTCTAAGAAATGGCTTTAGCTTAGTGATAACAACTGCTATTTAATTGGGGCCTATTGCCATCAATTTTAGCTAATACCAAATAATGTATTGACGTGTAATCGCATGTTAAATGAATGTGACATATTTAGCTTTGCCTGAAGCCTTAGCTAAGGATGGCTTTGGTTTTGGTGATGTTTAGTCAAATAGTTCAAAAGTACAGACTGAACATGCTCTCACTGAAATGCTTTTGCAAGCCAGCAGCATGTTGAGTCTTTGGCAGCTGTAGCGTTTTCTGTTGTTGTAGATTCTTACCTGTCTCCTGTTTTGGGAAATTTTTTTCCCCTTTATTTTTTCCCCTCAAGAAATCAAGAAATCTTGACAAGCAGAATAGCATATTTGTCCTTGTGCTTTGGGTGGTGCCTTTTTTATTTAGATTTGTTTACATTTGTATTCCTATCATGTATCTGATAAGCTCTGATTTTAAAAAACGGAGGCACTGTTCTTGCAAGAAGAGCATGCCTTGCTGGTTGTTTTTTTTAAGGCCCAACAAAATTCTCCAGGGTATAAACTAGTTTGAATTTCATTAATTCCAGAAATGAGATCCAGAGTACTAATGGCCTTGCTAAGTACTGTGTAATCTATCCAATCTTTATTACTGCCATGAGCCGATACTTGTACACTGGAAAAAATAGAAGGTAATTGCTAAATAACACTGCTCTGCACAACTGTTCGTTCAGTCTTGCAGGGTACCCACAAGGTCATTCTCCTTCCCCAAATGTTGCTAATCAGCTTTATGTTTTCATGCACGTTCCTGTGCCAGGATATGAGCTTTCTTGTGAATTCTCATTTCCTGCTCTTTTCCCCTCAGTCTTATCTCTTGTGCTCTTCCCACTCTCTTGAGATGCGTGAATATTAGGGGGAGGTTTTCTGCAGGGGACAGTGGTCAGGGAAGATGGGGAAGTGCTCAGCCTATTTGCAGGGATCTCATAGCTCCTTTGGGATTTATAGTTACTGTCCCATCCTTCCATGCTAACAGCAGTGGAAAGCCAGGTATTTCTCTTTTGTGCTTGTCATAAAATAAGGATTAGGCCTGTGTGAAGCTTCGGTCGGCAATTCGATTCAGAGGAGATTCGGCTCAATTCGGCGACTGAATCTCTGAATCTGAGTCTGTCACAACCCAAAGTTGTGGTTTTTCTTGTTTGTGTGTGCTTCGGCATCGCTAAATCATGTTCCCGCCAAATTGCAGCTCTTTTGCATGGTGGAGTATTCTGTTACAACGGAGGACCCGCGTGCAGGAGTTTTTCCCGCCAGTTCTGTAGCTTTCTTTGCATCGTGCATTTCTTTTGCATTATAGCGATGCACGATGCAAAGGAGTTCCTGCCATTTGTATTTAGATTCGTGCCACATTATTGGCCGGTTCTAAATGTAGGCATACGTGGCGGCTAGCTATTGGCTTGCTAGCCGTACAAAAGGCTTGGGTAGTTTCCGCCCAAGTCGGAGAGAGAGAAAGCACGTGGAGTTCGGGAAAGGAGCGTGAGGATCTCTAAGCGCTGCTGATCCCTACGAACCCAGCTTTTTCCTTAAGAGGGCAACAGAGGTTTAATTTGTCGAACCCACGGAGCTTCAACAACTCCGGGGGACCTATTTACCGAACCCTCGGAGCCTTAACAACTCCGAGGCACATACCCTCTAGCCTCTCCCCGTCGCCGATCG